GCGGGAGGAGGAGGAGGAGGGAAGGGAGAACGGAGAAGAATGGGAAGGGGAGGAGGAGGAGGAGGAGGAGAGGAGGAGGAGGAGGAGGAGGAAAAGGAGGAGGAGGAGTGAGGAGGAGGAGGAGGAGGAGGAGGGGAGGTGGAGGAGAGGGAGGAGCACGTAAGTCGGGCGTGTCCCCCTACAGGAGGAGTATTCATAGTCAAACAAGTACCTGGGGGCGATTTTCTGAGTATTTTTGATCATTTTGGGGCGTGTTGTTGAGGTGTGTTTGATCTTTTGTCCAAAAGCCGCCTGCAGGGGGACATGCCCGACCTAACTCTTCAGATGGAAGATGCAGGAATAGTCAAAATAGTTCGGGGACGATTCTTTGACCATTCTGAACCAGTTTTGGGCATTGTTTGTGTTGCTGCTCGCTGTGCTGTTATGGCTGGACCTCGGGGGTCCACCTCACGGGCACGGTGAGGTTGCCATTGGTCTGCCGACTTGGTCGGCGACCTCTTGGTTGGAGGAAGATACGCTTTTAGCATGGTTTGACTGTCTTTGATTTCGTCCGAAAAAATCCGCATGTATAGGAGGACATGCCCGACCTCACGCTGGGCGCGGTGCGCGAAGGTCGGGGATGTTTTTTTGCTCGCAGCCCTGGCGTGGGACCTGAGGTCCTCCGCGCTTTTCTTCCGCGTCGGAGTGCCCTCCGCCTCCGCTTCCCGTCCCTCGCGGCCGCCCTGTCTGTCTAGTTTCTCCCTCTTGGCAAGGGGGAGGAACTAGCCAGATGGCTCCTCACATGACACACCTGATGCTGGGGCCATCTGCCAGATTGCCACATTGGCGCCAGATTGGCTCTCGCCAGATTGGATCAGATGGACTCCCTCGCCCGATTGCCAGATTGGACCCGCCAGATTGGCGCCAGGTTGGCTTCGACTACCTAGGTTGCACGCCAGCTAATTAGCGCATCGGCTGCCCCGATCGCCCGCTAGCTGGAGCACGGAGCAGCCCTTCTGCCTCGCCGCCGACGAAAAGAGTGGGACTTCAGTTTTCGTGGACCCCGCCTGGGGATGTTCCTCCCTATGTTTTTTAAAGGGGGAGGAGGAGGGGGAGGAGGAGGAGGGAGGAGGAGGAGCAGGAGTAGGAGGAGGAGGAGGAGGAGGAGGAGGAGGAGGAGGAGGAGGAGGAGGAGGAGGAGAGTGGAGGAGGAGGGCAGGAGGAGCAGGAGGAGAGGAGGAGGAGGAGGAGGCAGGAGGAGGGAGGAGGGGAGGAGAGGAGGAGGGGAGGAGGGGAGGAGGAGAGGAGGGGGGGGGCGGGGGGGCACGAGCCCCAGGCTCCCTCGAGGCTTCCACCGTGGAGAGGGTGCCGCCGCCCTGGCCCACGGCGGAAGGGCGGGCTCTCCGGGCCTCGGCCCGGTGTTCCCCCGCAGAGGCTGCGCGGGGGCCCCCCCCGGGCGCGCGGGAGCGCGCGAGACGGCCCGGAGATCGGGCGTCTGGGGCCTGGGTGATTTTGTATCAGCCCGTCTCTCCCCATCGCGGGAACGACCCGTGGGGCGTGAAGTCTCCTCCTCCTCTCTCCTCCTCCTCCTCCTCCTCCTCCTCCTCCTCCTCCTCCTCCTCCTCCTCCTCCTCCTCCTCCTCCCCCTCTCCTCCTCAACCTCCTCCTCCTCCTTGTCCTCCTCCTCGGTGTGTGTGTGTGTGTGTGCGTAATTACGCGTCGGCGGGCCTTCGGCGGCGCTCCCAATGGGGCTAGGGCTATGGGTCAGTCTCAGTGGTGCCCCCGGAGATCCAGTAGGGACTGGTGACGCGCGCACCCTCCCGTTGGGATCGCCTGCTCCAGCGAGCGATGACGCGAGGCACGCCGTGCAGTCAATGATGCACGGGGCGTTCCTGGAAAGGGCCCCGGCTTCCAGGGATCGAGAGGTTCTCTGCTTCGACGGCGGTCGGCGGAAGCTGGCGGAAGCAAACAAACCCAGGGCGCTTCTGCAGGCGCAAGAGTGCGGGCGACCAGTGTCAGCCAGCGGATGTAAATCATGCGCCCCAAGAAATGCAAATCTTTTTGGATGCAGGGTTTCAGCAGCGCGTCACATCTCAGACCACCCTGCCTGTGCAGGAGACTTTCCATCGATGGGGTGGTCGGGGTCCCATGCATGTTCGGTTTCGCTATGGACTTCCTGTTGCAAGCTAGTCCATCGCAGCCATGGACTGTCGAATTGCCTGGGCGTTCGCAAGTTGCCAAGGGGCGAGAGGACGCTAGCAGAGCGGCACAACGGGGCGCACGGAATCCAGAGCTTATCACCATGCAGTGGGGGCCCATGCAAAGAAACACCTTGCTCGCCTCCAGCGTGCCTTGGGTTTCTGGGGTTTCGATGGCTCTGCTCTGGAGAGCGTGACGCTCCCACACCAAAAGCCGATGGACCTCCCGGGGTCTCAGGGTTGCGTTTCTTGTGGAAGGTTTCTTGTGGTCGGGCCCCTACTGTGCGCGATGGGGCCATGCACGGTCGTTCATTGTCATTTGGAGCTCAAGCCCCAAAGGCCCCATCGTCTGGAGGGGTGAGCAGCTGCAGCGTCCTGGAAGTCAGGAGAGCGGGGGGAGGTCCGAAGGGCCAGTCTTCAGTCGGGCGTGTCCCTCTACAGGAGGAACATGCAAAAGTTGTTTTCGCCAAAGAAAAAGTCTGGGGATGACTTTTCTTGGCCATGTTTTAGACATATGTTCGGACTCTTTTAATCTCTCGTCCAAAATCCGCCTGTAGGGGGACACGCCCGACCTAACCTTCAGGGCCAGTCGAACAGCCAGGGCGGGTTGACAGGCGGGAGGCGGCGGAGGGCGGCTGGAAGGGTTGTGGAGATCAGCGCAGGTGCAGCAGCGTTCCTGACGGCGCTGGCTTTGAGCACCGTTGAACCGACCCTCATCCCCATGGGCGTGGCCTGGGCCCCACTGGCCGATTTATCCCCGTAGGCGGGGATATGTAGGCTGCTTCCTTCGGGTTTCGAGGGGCATGTGCCCAAGTGGGGTGCTGAGATGGTGAGGGTCTGGATGGGGATGGGAATGGGGGACAGGGGTCGGTTGAACGATACAGTCAACCAAGCACAGTGAGGATGGGCAACCTTCCCAAGGGTACCCTTGCATCATTGCCTCCTCGGTCCATCCTTAGCCGGTTTCGTTGGCCGCGTTGTGCTCGAAAAGCTCTGAAATGGGCGTCCAAGACCCCACAGGAAGCGAACTGTGAGAACCAAGAATATGTGAGCGTGCATCACCGCCGACCTTGCCGCTAGGCCGTCCTTGAGGCGACTGCTTCGCGACGAGGGCACGTTGCGGAATTTGCGCATGCACGATAGCCGGCATTGCCCCCAGACGGCGTCCAGTAGGAGACGAATTTTGGTAGGGGTTCGACGTGAGAGTGCGAAGGACCGCCAGCCTTCTCGCCGGGCAACGTCCTTAGGGCATTTGCCTCGCGACGGGTCAGGCGCGCAGAATCTGTTGGTGCACGCGAGGTGGCTCCGCCGCAAGGCAGCGCCCAAAGGAGACGATGTGGAGTCCCAGGCCAACATGAGCGTGCAGGACCGCTGGCCTTGCTGCCGTGCTGTTTCCTTGAGGCGATTGCTTCGCGACGGGAATACACGCAGAATTTGCGGATGCACGAAAACCGGCACTGCAGCCTGACAGCGTACAGGAGGAGACGAGCCGTGGTAACACGGACCACGGGAGAGCTCTGAGTACCGCTGGCCTTGCGCCGCTGCGCTGTGTCCTTGAGGGAACTGCTTCACGACAGGGGTAAGCGCGTAGAGACTGTGGACGCACGAGTGCCAGCACTGCCGCCAGCCAGCGCCCCAAAGAGAACGAAACACGGGCGGCTGGAAAGACACGAAAACGTACAGGGCCGCCGGCCTGACCGCCAGGCAACGCCCTAGAGGCAACAGCCTCGCGACGGCTGCCGACGCACGATGGAGCCTGCGTCCGACAGGGCCCGAACCTTGGTAGCGCTTCGACGTGAGAAGGTTCAGGACCGCTGGCCCGTCCGGAGTCCTTGCACGCGCGAAGTTTGGCATTGCCGCCAGCCAGCGTCCAAAAACTTTGGTTATTGGCGCCGTGGGAGGATGAGCAAGACCTCCGGCCTTGCCGCCGGGCAACGTCTGTGGGCAACAGCTTCGCGACGGGGGTAGGCGCGCATCAACTGCGGACGTACGATGGCTGGCATTGCCGCCAGCCTGCGTTTCAAAGAGGACGAACCTTGGTAGTGGTTCGAGGTGAGAAGCCTCAGGACCGCCAGCCTTTCCGCCAGCTTGTGTCCTTGAGGCATCTGCTTCGCGATGGGGGAAGGCGCGCAGAACCAGCAAATGGACGTAAACTGGCACTGCCGCCAGACAGCGCCTACAGCAAGCGAAGTGGACAACCCAGGGAGATGTGAGTGTTCAGGACCGCCGGCGTCGCCGCCGGGCTGTGTCCATGAGGCAACTGCAACGCGACGACAGCAGCCACGCAGAATCTGCGGATGCACGATCGCCGGCGCTGCCGCCCTTGCATCAGGCACCAACCAAGGGCGGGTGCCCGTGCCTGTCCATCGACGCGGTTCGGCATCGGCGCCCATACGGCCTTACCTCCTTGGGGAGGGCCGTGCTTGCCGCGAGTGTGAGGGCGTGAGGCCCTAGGCCACTGTCGCCCGGCCAGTCACTCGACAAGAGGCTACTCAGGGGTGCTCTTCGGGTTCAGGGAACTCTTAGTGGCGCCCCGTGCGTCCCAGGGGTTTTCCCTTTACCCAGTATCGAATGGCATCGGCACGGGCGGGGAGGAAGAGGAGGAGGAGGGGGGGGGGGAGGAGGAGGACCTCTCCATCCTCCCTTTTCCTCCGTCCTGCTTGTTCCTAATTGTGGTAGTGGTTTTGGAAACTTGGCCCGCCATAGAACCGCCAGATATTTCAGAGATCCCCGCGATTCGTCCAGGTCCGATTCTGCCCCGGCCCTGGCCTCGTCTTGCCCGCAGGCATCATACTGACCTGTTGGGGGAGCCCCGACTTCGAGATGCGCGGCTTCTGCCTCGCGTTCGGGTCGCGGGACGCCCCCGCGCGCCAGAGCCGTCCTCTGCTGCTGCTCCCTTCGCTCTTCGGCGTGCTCAGGGAGCTTGCCGTGCGCATTTGGGACGCCAAAGCCACATGTGTTTCTTGTTCTTCTTATGTTTCTCGCTTTTCTCTCTCTCTATACATGTGTACGGCTGTATCTATGTTTGTCTGCCTGGCTGCAAGCATGTCTGCGTGTATGTTTGTTTGTTTGGTTGCACGTGCGCGTGAATGAATGTATGCATGCGTGCATGTATGGGTGTACGTACGTACATGCATACGCACGTATGGATGCATGTATGCATGTACGTATGCTTGTATGTATGGATATATAGGTGTGAATGTACGTTTGTATGCATGCACCTACGCATGTACGTAAGTATGCATGTACGTATTTACATATGCATGTATGTATGTATGTATGCATGCATGCATGCATGCATGCATGCATGCAGGAATGCATGTATGTATGTATGTATGTATGTATGTATGTATGTATGTATGTATGTATGTATGTACGTACGTACGTATGCATGTATGTATGTATGTATGTATGTATGTATGTATGTATGTGTGTGCGTGTGTGTATGTATGTATGTATGTATGTATGTATGTATGTATGTATGTATGTATGTATGCATGCATGTATGTATGTATGTATGTATGTATGTATGTATGTATGTATGCAATCATGCATGCATGCATGCATGCATGCATGTATGTATGCTTGTATGTACGTATGTACGTACGTACATACGTCCGCACGTATGTATAGGTGTATGTATGCATGTATGTATGCATGTCTGTCTGTCTGTATGTATGTCTGTATGTCTGTCTGCATGTATGTATGTATGTATGTATGTATGCATGTATGTAAATGTCTATCTCTCCCTCTGTATATATATGTATAGGTGCGTACAGGTATAGCAGCCTTCGGTCCATCTTGCCACCGTGCGTGGGTTGTGGGCCACAGGCCTTTAGAATGTTCGCTGGGATGTATGTCGCGGGAGGCCTTTTGGGAGCGGGGGGGGGCATTGGGGGCCGTCCCGAGACCTCTCGGGGGCCGTTTGGGGGCCTCCCTTGGGGCGTTCTGGGGGCCTCTTAGGGGGCCTCTTGGGGCAGCTTGGCGACTTCTTGAGGCCTCCTTTGGTTCTCCTGGGGGCCTTTCGGGGCGGACACCTTGGATGTTCGGTTTGTGTTCCCCCTGTTCGGCCATCGTGGGCGCTTCTGGGGCCGTCTTGGAGCCCTCTTGGGCCATCTTGGAGCCCTCTCGGTTGCCTCTTGGGCTGCCTTGGGGCGGTTTTCGGGGCCTTCTGGGCCGTCTTGGAGCCTCGGAGGCTCGAAATGTTGAAGACCCTCAAAACATTGAATAACCATGGGGGATCAATGATGTTGGCCCCTCGGGGCCCTCTTGGGGAGGGGCTCCCTTTGGGCGCCTCGCAGGCTTCTTGGGCCGCCTTGGGGTCATGTTGGGCGTCTTGGATAGCTCGTGCGGCTTGTCGGTGCCGTCTTGGGCCGCCTCGGGGGCCTCTTGGGGCGCTCTTGGCTGAATTTTGGGGCCCTCTTTGGGCCCGAACAGCTCACGCGACAAGACGCGATGTGCTCCAGGAGGCACGCGCCGAGCCCCAGAGGATGTGAGGATTTGGGGTCCGGGCCCCCTCGAAGAATCCGCAGGGCTGAGTACTGAGGATGAAGGGATTGGGCCAAGGACCTGAGGACATTGCCCGTGGCCAGGCCAGGCCGCGGCGGCCTCTTTCGGCTTAGTTATTTCATTAACCAGGGGCTTCGCGCCACTGGCGCGTCGGCAGAGTCAAGGCCACCAGGACGCCCACCTCTTGCAGCCTTTTACCTGAGGACGCTGCAGCTCGTGCCCCAGGGCACCATGGCAGATATGGATAGTTGCGCACACAAGCGTGTGCGTGCACATACACACATGCGCATTGATGCGCATGTATGTATGTATGTATGTATGTATGTATGTACATACATATGTATATATATATATATATACGTCCGCAACCAGTTTGGCTCACCTGAACTGCCTTCGCGGGGTAGGCTCCCACCCAGAGATCCAGCTGTCTCCAAATCCAGGTCCGCCCCTGGCAATTGCCCCGAGCCCAGGTCCGCCCCTGGCATCCATATTCATAAGTCCAGGTCCGCCCCTGGCATCCATATTCAAAGTCCTGGTCAGCCCCAGGCACCCAGTCAGCACCGCGAATGGCGGCTCATCGTGGAGCTGCTGCTGCTGATCGGTCTGCTGTTTCTCTCCAACCCTCTGGTGCTGAAGCGAGCGAAGGACCTCATCGGCGAGCAGGTGGCCGTCAACAATATGCAATCCATCAACACGATCCCTGGAGAGATGCGGCCGCCCTCTCCCGTGCTGCTGCTGAAGGGGCCAAGAGGCCCCGAGCTGGCGCCTCCAACGCCTCCACCTCCTCCGAGCTCAACGACTCCATGGACGCAGCCAACGCCGCTATCAAAGCATCGCAGGATTTCCCCACGGCGCAGCTCGATGCGAGGCTGGCCACAATCAAGCAAGAAGTCATCGCAGAGTTCGCCACACAGCTCAGAGGGCCGCTGGGCGCGGTCATTGGTCAGCAGCAAAAGCAAAACGAACAGTTCAATGGGCGCATCCAATCGCCCCAGGCCGCCTCGATCAAGCTGGAAGCAGATCAACGACATTTACGTGCCCAGGTCGCCGAAATGCGACAGAAGCTATTCATGCAAGAAGCACAGATCCTCATCAAAGACTACGAACCTCATCGAGTGGGACAGGGTGGCAGACACCAACATCATCGTTGGCACCGCGCCGGGGAATTACACTACGGACCAGCTCAAGCATAGCATTGAGCCGAGCATGGACAAGTGTGATCTCAGCGAAGCCGACTGGGAGGTGGTTGGGAAGAGCCCAGCGAGACGCTTCATCATCCAGTTCAGCGGGGATGCCAACGCATCCGCGCGGAAGGTCAGAGCATTCTACAGCAAGCTCAAGGGGCCCGACGGGGATTGGGTCAACACAGAAGTCCAACGTATCCATGGACAGTCAACCAGACTCTTCCTCGGCCTGGATCGCTCGGGGAAAAACGGCACGAAGGGAGTTCCAGACCAAGAAACTTACCCAGTTCTGCAAAGCGCAAGATGCCACAAAGCGGTGGCGAAGTGACCGGCAGCAGGGCATCATTTACTGCAATAACATGCCAGTCCTGTCCATCGTGGTCGGCTCCACAGAGGACGCGCCCACCCGTCTGCTCTTCAATTACAATGGCTGCCTTCAGCACGGCATCGCTCGAGAGGAGATCCGCGTGGACTTCGAGCAATTCTTCCGGACCTCGCTCGACGCGCAGAATGTGCAGTGGCAGATCTGACTGGGCCCTCACCCCTTGGCGGGGCACAGGCGCGCTGAAGCCGATTTCTTTCGCGACGTGGAATCCGAGAGCGCTGCTGGGCAGAGACCCCCTCAAGAGGATAAACAAGATCGCGTTCGTGAAGCAGGTGGTGAACTCCACGGCCGCGCTAGCCCTGCAGGAGGTCCATGCAGCGGGCACGCTCCACAGCATGATCGTGACCTACAGCGTCCACAACCTGCAGCCTACTGCAGACCTGGGCCAGCCCGCACGGGGCGCGACTCGCACCGAGCTCAGAATAGCTGAACAACAGCCAGAGAGGATCAAGGCGTTCGTCGTGGATGACCTCAACTTCATGGACGAGGCCAAGCCAGAGCTGACAGCACCGCTGGTCAACAAAGCCCTCCCCCGCCGCCGAAATCACCATCCAGAACACCAGCTACCTGGGGGGCGAGCTCTGGGTGACATGGTGGAGATCGACCCCGAGTTCCCGTCTACACCGAGCAGTCGCAGCAGTGCGCGCGGATTGAGGACATGATTTCAGAGCTTCGCCGCCGATGGCCTCCTGTAATTCAGGCGAAGCCGAGCCACCGCAAACGCGCTAGGCGCTACCTGGACAAGCACATCATTCCCTACGACTGCTCCCAGACGGACACCCCGTCGCTGGACAAAATGCTGAACCTCACTCACGGGCCCAACAGTTCGGCTCCTGGCCATGATGGGATACCGCGCACTGCCTTTAAGCGCATCCCCCCCGCGGCGCCGCTCTTCATTAAGGTGATGATCGAGACAGTGAAAGGTTTTCCTGTGCCAGTGGTCTTCAACGTCTGGCTCATGATTTTCATTCCGGAGGGGTCGGGGCCTGATGATGGAATCTCAGCCACCAAAATCGCTACTGCCACGAGACTCCTCTCGCTAAAGAACACGGACTGCAAGATCGTCGCTGCCAAAGGCATCGAGATGACGAAGCCTTCCGCCGCGAAAGTGGCCCACGGGGCGCTGAAGGGCCTCCTCCCGAAGCATCGCTTCCTCGAGCTGGTGGCGGCTACAGACGCGCAGTCCCGCATTGCCGCCATGCAAGATGACTCGACGAACGGAGATCCGATGATGGTCCTATGCGATTTCGGTGACACGTTCCCCTCGCCGTGCAGAACAAGGCCCAACATAGCATCGGAGAAAGCGGACTCCCCCGAGGGCATCTGCAACATGATGGAGGCGACCTGCCCGCTGCCTTTAGCTTTCGCCAACCTCGCGGCCGTCATTGAGTGCTTCGGCGCCATCGCCTCCGGATGTCCTCTGGGATGCCCTTGGTCGGGCACGCTGTGGATGGTGGGCTTGGACCCGCTGATCTGGGACTTGCACCCGTGGACGGCGCACCCCGTGGGCGCGGTCTTCGGGGATTGCGTTGACGCCGCGGGCAGCGTCCCCCCCTCTTCCAAGATGCTCCGCCTGTTGAGCAGGGTGTTCTTCGTGGCGGAGTATGGGGCCCGCCTGGTGCTGAAGACGGCGAAGACGGCGAAATGTAAGATCATCCCTCTGGCGGGGGCAGTCGCCCCTGCGGTGGAGGACAGGGTCCGTGACAAGATCGCCGACCTGGTACCACGCTGGAGTGACATGTTGATCAATGACAGGGCGGAGTACCTGGGAGTGCGACAGGGACCCAGCGATGATGATGGGCACAGCTGGGGGAAGGTCACTCTCGGCGGGCAGCGCTTTACTCACAAGTTCGCCCACATCGGGGCCCCGACCAGCACTTCACTGATGCTCTACAACCAGCGAGCGGTGAGCAAGATCTCATACATCAGCCAGCTCTTAGCGTGGCCGCGGAAGGTGAAGAAGAAAGAGAGTTGGGCACTACATCGCGTCTGGTTCCTACCTCCACAAGCTCTACCTCGTGATGCCCTACTGGCTTGGGGGCGCTGGACTTCGCTGAAGGCGGTCTCCCACGAGCACAGCAACCGATCGGCACTGATGCGCAGTGCCACTGTTTCTGCCCTGAACTGGCAGTTCTGGGCTCGACGTCTGCGCGGCGCAGTGGAGTTCAGCCTCTCGTTCCACGCCCGCCCGCATGGCCTGGTTGCCCCCCTCTGCTGGAAGTCGAATCCGATCACGTACACCCTCGAGGAAGCGTCGCAGGGATTCCCCAGCGACACGAACCGCCCGCTGGCAGTGGCCTGCGCCGCTGCGTTGAGTGAGGGGAAGGTGGAGAAGGCCCGTCTTTTGGCCGAGTCTTCTACGGCTCGCTTGTGCATGCAGAAGTTTATTCACTCCCTCTACGTCTCCTCTCCCACCCCTGACCGCCCGCCTGTCACTGTTCACCCTTGCCTCAACTCCTGGGCTAAACCTACTGAGTTTTTTTTCTCTTTTACAAATCGAATGGGAGCCGCTCAAAGAGCTCCTGAGCAAGAGCCTCGCGCCCTCTGCTCAATCGGCACTTATCAAGACGCGGGCTGGAGGACGGACCACGTCCCGTCGCCCTCACTCGTATGACGTCTGCAGCCCCTGCTTATTCGGCTGCTGCCAGTCCGAGGGCGAAGGCGCCTCTGACGCTATAGCGCACTTCAACCGCTGCCCACCTCTTTGGCAGGCAGTGCGCGCTGTGTGGCATGCACAGATTGGCATCCCGCAACTGACTCTGAATAGTCTGGGCCTCTGCAGCGGGGAGTCTGACGAATTCCCACAGAGCGTGCTGCTGGAGCGCGCGGTCGTCGCTTTTTCACACCTACCACATACTGGCGAAGCTTCCCATTACAGGGTGGTTGCTTCCTACTGCGTCTGAGGACAGTGCCCGAGCCGCATGGGCGCTTCTCCTTTCAACTCACATGGCTGTGCAGTGAACATCTGGCCACTGTGCGGCGCGGAAGCACGAGCGATATATATATATATATATATATATATATATATATATATATACATATATAGATGTTTATCCCCAGCAGCACGCACACATAATCTCCAGCAACACCACAGTCTCCAGTGCGCCGGGACCTGGCAGTACCGTCAGCAATCTCATCGGCGCGTCCAGCAGCAGGGCGGGAGCGGGCAGTGCCGACAGCAGGAGCACCAGGGTGCCCAGCAGCATCTCTATCTCCTCTACAACGAGAGTCGGCACTTCCGCCAGCAGCAGCGCGTGCGAATCAGTAGTTCCAGTACGCCGGGGCCGGGCAGTACCATCAGGAGCTGCACCAGCGTGTCCAGCAGCACCACACCTTCCAGTACGACGGGGCCCGTCAGTGCCGGCCGCAGCTGCACCAGCACATCCCGCGGTGCCACTACCTCCGGGACGACGACATCTGGCCTCACTGCCAGCAGCGGCGCCGGCGCACCCAGCAGCATCGCTCCCTCCAGTGCGGCGAGGCCTGGCCGTAGCGTCAGCAGCAGCGCCGGCGCGTCTCGCAGCACCACTCTTCCCAGCAGGACGTGAGTCTGCAGAAGTGAAGCAACGACGCAACTCTCTGCAGGCTGGGATTTGCCACTGGCATGTGCGGTAGCACCAGCGCGTCCAGCTTCATCACAATCTCCAGCGCGACCCTCAGCTGCGGTGGCAGAGCCGCCAGCTGCAGGTGCGAAAGCGTAGCCACTACTTTCGGGGACGGGGGCGCCACCGTCACCGCGGCAGACAGCAGCAGCGCCTTCGGCAGCACCGCAGTCTTCAGCGCGACGAGCATCTGCAGCGCCATTGCCTACGGCAGGACATCCAGAGACACTTCAGCATCCGCTGCGACGAGAACCACCTGCAGTGCAGCCGGTTGGCCCTCTGCAGCCAGCACCTCCACCTCAGTCCTCAGGATCTTCGCCTTTTTCTTTTCCTTCTTCTTCTTCGGGTCGACGAGGAATGCGCCGCCGGCGCCGGCAGGAGATGGCCCGATCGGGAGTGGGGGCACGAGCGCGGGCTCAGGCCCGCAGCCGCCGTGGGGCCGTCTGGGCCGTCCCCAGCGCCGCGGGGCGCCCGCTTCCAATCGACCTCTTCATACTCCGGAGGCTTCGCGGGGCGCAGCTGGAATGCGCAGGCGCTGTTTGCCCGAGATGCGGCGAGGCATCGCCTCGAGAAGGCGCAGTGCCTGAGATTCCTCCGCGAAGCGGACTTTGTCGCAGTGCAGGAGACGCATGGCACGGCATGCGCAGCGGCGACGATCCGATGGCCGCGAGACGTCGTTGCGCGGTGGTCTCATGGCACTGCGGCAGTCGGCGGCGTCAGCGTCTTGGTAAAGAGCACGTTGCTGGAGCAGTTCGGCGGTAGGAGTGGTGCGGATTGGATCGACATTGCCCTGGGGAGGGCGGCCATGTTGCGGCTTGATGGCCCGAGCGGATCTCTTGACACTGTCTCTGCGTGCGCTCCCACGGGGCAGGCGGCGCAGGAACGCGCTGCTATTACAGACCAGATATCAGCCCACATGCGCCCAGAAACCCGAACCTTGGCAGCGATGGTCGGGGATTGGAACTTCGCGCGGGAGATTCGCGACATGCCGCGCTTCGACTCGGAGTCGTGGGCGGGGGGGGGGGGGGGGCGAGCAGGGGCGCGACGACTTCGCGGCGGCCCTCCTCGAGCCGCGCGGGTTGTTCGAGGTCTGGCAGCCGGAACCTACGCGCCGCGCTGGACAGGGGTCTTCGCGGCTGGACCGCGCGCGCGCGAACGCTCGCATCTCCGATCAGATTTGCAGAGCATGGGCGCGTGCAGCGTCGAACTGGGTCAGCTCTCTGTCTGCGCGCCGCCCCCTGGAGGTCGCCCGATGGCCAGGATCGCGCCCAGTTCCGCTAGGGCCTTCGCTGCGGCCAGAGTGGGCTCAGAATGTGACGTTGCGTTGGAGCGACCCGCGGGGGGCCGACGACCTCGCCGACGCGGCCCACGGGCGCCTTCTGCTGCTCAAGAGGGCAATTGCGAGCGTCAGCCTGGAGATTCACAAGTCCGTGCAGCACGCGAAAGCAGACGGCCGCGGACCGCCTGGGCTGCGCCATCCGCTGTTTACGAGCGGTTGAGGGTGGGGGGGGGGGGGGGGGGGCTTGCCGCGCAGCGGGCGGCCGCAGAGTTCCCAAAGCTCGTTGACCAACCCTGGCTGCAGGCTGCTTCCGTCGGCGACAGGGGGGCCCAGCGGGCGCGCAGGGACAGGGCGGTGCAGCTGGCCAAGGAGGACATGCATCCACCGGGGCCTCCGCATTCGAGGCGGCGTCAACCCGGGCTACCTCCAGAGGCCGCGGCGGCGGGTCGCGAGACGGTTGCCGACGAGATCTGGCGTCTGAAACCTGGGTCTGGGTCGCGCCCGGCGGCGATCAAAGGCCCCGACGGCAGCGCGTGAACAGACCCCACGAGCCATCGCGCGGGAATTGGCCAGACCTTGGAGCGGAGTCTTCGCGGAGAAGGATGTGGACGACGCCCGGCTGACAGCGCGGCTACAAGAGTGCGGCGTCTTCGGCGACGCTCGCCTGCCATCCCGGGCAGACCAGCGGCAAGTTCGGCGCGAGGACGTGCGCGCCGCGCAACGGCGGGCACGGGCCACGCCGCCAGGCCCAGATGGCATCAGCGCCGTTCTCTGGAAACGCTTGGGCGCGCTGGCAGAAGATGCGTTGTTTGACGCAGCTTGCTCGCTGTCTTCATCGTCCGCGCCCGCGGACTCGCGGCCGGCGTGCGCGGGCGAGCTGGAGGACGAAGCCGGCGCCCGGGAACGCAGCTTCAATCTCGGTCTCCTCTGCTGCATCCCGAAGAAGGCGGCGGAGCTCCATCCGGACTTTGGAGAGGCTCGCGCGGCCGAGGAAGGGGCCCGCCCCTTGTCGCTCGTCGACGCCTCCAACAGGATCATGGCGGGGGCTTAGAAACGCCAGATGGAGGGCGCCTCAGGGCAGTGGGTGTCCGCGTCGCAGAGCGGATTCCTCCCGGGGCGTTCGGCGCTGGCCAACGCGGCGGAGCTGGAGCACGACGGCATGCCTGCAACCACGCAGAGGGAACGCGGAATGATCTTTCTGGTGGACTTCAAGGCTGCCTTCCCTTCGGTATCCCACTGCTTCTTGTGCAGGTGTTTGGAGTGATTTGGCACGCCTGGCCAAGCACTCAAGGTTTTGGACGCGCCCTGCGACGAGGGCCGCTGCAAGGTGTCAGCTGGCGGCGCCCGGTGGCCAGGAATTGCTCTGCGTTCAAGTTTTCGCAGAGGGTGACCATTATCGCCGCTCGTGTTCGCGACCTCCATGGACCTCCTACTTCGAGCACTGGCCTCCAGGCTAGGGCCTGCGGTGACGATGCGCGCCTTCGCTGACGACGTCGGCATCGTCTTGGCCGATAGCGAGACGCAGCTGCCCATCCTGGGGCAGGCGCTCCGCAAGTTCGGCCAGTTGTCTGGCATGGAAGTGAACCCGCCGATGACTGTCGGCACCCCGCTCTGGGGCGGCACCCTGGACGAGGCGGCGGCGGCGATTTCCTTGGCGCGCCCTGCCTGGGGCAGATTGCCATTGAGACGGGCCGCCGTGCATCTCGGGCGCGCGGTTGGGCCAGGCAAAGGAGACGTCCTGAGGAATGCCGCCGCGGGCAAATTCCGAGAACGCGTCGGGGGCTGGCAATGGGGCGAGGTGGGGCTGCATTTCTCCGCGTCCGCGTTCAATGCCTGCGCGATGGCCGTTCTTTCGTTCATAGTGCAGGTGGCCGCGCCGCAAGATGACGCGCTCGCAGCAGAAGCTCGGGCTCTGCGAAGAGCCGCGCCAGGGCCGGGCAACTGGGCAGTCCCCGAGGACTTGTGGGGCCTAAAGGAGCACCATTGGTTGCCGAGATCTGCCGCGCAACTCCGAGCGTTCCGCTGCGAGAACTCGGCGCAGGGGGGGCTCCAGCTGGAGGGGAAATCTGCGCGGCTCCGTGCAGCGGCTGCAAGTGCGCGGTTCCCGGGGGGACTCGTTCTGTGGGCGCAACGGTTCTCGGCCGCTAGTTCCGCAGTGTTATGCCGGAGCGCCGCAGAGCTCGAGGCCCAGGGCATCTCGCCCGTCAGAGTAGAGGAAGCCGTTGCGAGGAGCGGAAGGACATTCCAGGCGATCGCGCGGGAGATGATTGCGGCGCGGGCACAGGGGCGCCCGCATTTCCGGATCCGGCAAGGTCAACAGATGGGCGTTGCCTGGCACGCCGCGGACAGTGTCGATCCTCTTCGAACAAGCCTCCGACGCCTGCGCGACTTGGTCTTTCCCCAGGTTGTCGCGGCAGTTTTCAGCACCCGATGGAACCGGCGGTGCACGGAATGTTGGTTCCAGCGGCGGGCGGCGGGCAGCAATTTCTGCAGGCTGGGCTGCGGCGGCGTGGCGCAAAACAGCATCGAGCACTACACGCGTTGCCGCACCGTGCGCCGCTTCCACGCCACGTCGCTTCGCATCAATGAGGAGTGGCTTCTGCCGCACTGGCTCGGTGTCCAGGAACGGCGGCGCCTAGACACGGACTTGGTGCCAGGCGCGCTGGGCGCATATGCGGCATGCAGAGCCATCAACGCTGCGCGGGCGCAAGTCGCAAGGCGGCATGAGTGCCGAGGACGCCGCGCGGGCTTTGCAGCAAGCCCTGCGGGACGCGGTGGCCAGACACCGCGGCGCGGAGAACATGCTCGGCAACGTGTGGGCATGAGCGGGCCCGCTGCTCCGAGGACAGCATCGCGCTGTTGGCGCCTCGTGAGGGTGACCACTCGCCTCCCTTCTCTCCTCTCCTCCTCCTCCTCCTCCTCCTCCGCCTCCTCCTCCTCCCCCTCCTCCCTCCTCTCTCCTCCTCCTCCTCCTCTCCTCCTCCTCCTCCTCCTCCTCCTCCTCCTCCTCTCCTTCCCTTGCAGGCTGTTTAACAGAAACCAGTTTAACAGGTTTGTTAAAGCTGTTAAACTGGTTTAACCAAAACCAGTTTAACAGTTTTGACGCCGGCGCGTCTGCGGTCCCAGGAATAACTGTTCGAATTTCCGCCCCGAATTTCGGCCACGCTCGCGGGACATGCGGTCCGAGGGCGGCCGCGGGCTTTCTCTCGGGGCAAATTTTGGCAACCACGCTGCCCACTCATTGCTGCTGTCTGCAGCCAGCCGGCGCCGTTACGGCAAGTCGCGGCGCAGGCGTGTTTTTTTCGCGTTCTGGCCAAGCGGAGGAACGGCCCCGCGGTTTTGCTGGCGCCGCCCCGCCGCCAGACGCCTCGAGAGGGCGATCGTTCGCCTGCCCCCCCTCCTCGTCTTCCTCGTCGTTGGTCTGGTCGTCCTCCTTTTCCCTCTTCTGGCTTGCGTGTGATTCCGCGTCAGGGCGGGGCGGTCGTTTCGAGCGGGCAATCATTGCCGGCGCGTGGAGAGCCGATACTGTGCATGAATTTGTTTTACCAGTTGAGAGGCGTGGTGCCTCGCGCAAGGGTTTCATCTGCACGTTGCGGCGTGACCGTTTTGGTAACGTTGGTGGCTTTCAGAGAAGGTGCTGTCATGCCAATGTTGGCTGACGCTGCGTGCGCTGCCGTTGGTATTTGTCCCCCTCCTCCTCCTCCTCCTTTTCCTTCTCCTCCTCCTCCTCCACCTCCTCCTCCTCCTTCTCCTCCTCCTCCTCTCCCTCCTCTCGAAGCTGTTTGTACTTGCGTGCCCTAGTTTTGTTTATGTTCTTTCCCGCTGGAGGCTCTACAGCGGCCTCCAAGCGTCGGCCTCTTCGTCGACTGGCGGGCTGGTAGTCTGAAGCGCTGGTGTCCCACCAGGCGGGCCTGGCCTGAATGCCGGTCGCTTCGCCCCTCAGAGTCTCGCCGACCGCCGGCCCTCGGCCCCATCGCGTTGGTGACTGCAGGGCTGGCGCGCAGCTTAACATTCGGTGTCATCATCGCAACTAGGTCGTTCTTGTCTGCCTGTTGTATTCTATGCCGACCTTGTGGGTTTGGTGCCTCTGCTCTGGCATTGAGGCTTTCTGAGCACATCGCTGCGCTCAGTTCTCCCCCTTCGCCTCCTTCCGCTTCGTCCTCCCTCCTCGTTTGCGGCGTGGAAGCTGTAGGGCAATCCGCGGTTGACGCCGGAGCTCGCTCCACGTTTTTACTTTTTAGTATCGCTATCTCGGTGGCGGGCCTCTAGTGTTTTTCCTGCTTCCTCCTCCTGTTCTGCTTTCAGGGCCACTGTCCACTGCACATTCCTGTAGGGCGCCATCGAGTGACTTGGGGCTAGGGTTTCACGTCGCTTGGTACTGTCTCGGTGCACTGTTGACTCGAAAACTGTGCGCATGTCGTCGTATAATGGAGGATGACGATTAATAAATGACTGGGGGTCGTGTTCACGCGGCGGCGCCCAGGATGACGATTAGAAAAAACTGGCCGCGGGCTGGAAAACTATGTCTTATCGTTCTCCTGCGGTCAGACAATTATGCAGAAATCGCAGCAAACTATTTCTTTTAATCATTCTCTCCCAGTTGTTTTATTAATCGTCATCCCGCAGTAGCGGTGAGTCTTTTATCTTGTGGCCGTGTAGGCCCCGGGGTAGGTAAATCACGAGTGCACGCCAGAGGCCGCGGGCGGATGCATGGATCTGGAGCTCTGACTTGGCGTGGGACTGCATCTGCACCACGATCTCTTCTCACTCTGCTCTCGATGCGAACGGCTTGCGTGTCAGAGAACACCATGTTGATTGAATGGTGTTCGTGGACTATATATATATGTATACATATATATATATGTATACATATGTATACATATATTCATATAAATATGTATATATGTATGTATGTATGTCTGTCTGTCTGTATGTATGTATGTATGTATGTATGTATGTATGTATGTATGTATGTATGTATGTATGTATGTATGTATGTATGTATTATGTATGTATGTTTGTATGTATGTATGTATGTATGTATATATATATATATGTGCATATTCCTCCTATATTTTTACAAGCCCGCGCGGGGGGGAAAACCCGTCACGAGCGGCGTAGAGCCCAAAAAAAAGGAAACCCGTCCCCCCCCCTAAAACAAAAAACTGACTCCCGGGGTCTGGGGCTTTGGGACCCTTCGGACGGGCCTCGAAGCGGCCCCCAGGGCCTCGCAGGGCGTTTTGCCAAGCCTTCGTAGCACACCTAGGGCGATCAGGGGGGTCATCGGAGACGTCCCAAAGAACCCCTAAGACAGCACAAGAGCGCTCCAAGAAGCCGTCATACCCCGAAAGATCGCTCCAAAACGTACCAAGAGGTCTCCAAGAGCACCCCCAAGAAGGCCCCAAGAGGGACAAATAATTGATTTAATGTAGGTGTTTGGTGAATTTGGGGTTCTCCTCTTTTCGGCTTCCCGACGCTCCAAGACAGCGGTCTTCTGGGCGTCCGAAGTCGCCTGGGGGGCTCCCAAATCGCCCCACAACCATCCGAAAGGGTTTCCAGGCAGTCCAAGAGAACCCCAAAACGGCTCAACAGGGGTCCAAAATGGCCCTAAGAGAGCCCCATGGCGGCCCAAGATGGCCCCAAGACACCCTCCGAATCATTCCAAATCGTGACCGGGGCGTTCAGGGAGACCGCGGTTAGAGGCAGGTTGGCCTTAGGAATCCCCAGAGGCACCCAGAACACGCCCAGGAGGCCTCGATAAGGCTTTAAGAAAGCCTGAGAACTTTGGTGAGGCCCCCAGAGGCTCTCCAAGGAGGTCCGCAAAAAGAGCTGAGGAGGATGAGGATAATGCCCAGGGTATTGCGAGAATGAGGAGCAGCAAGCATGGAGGAATGATAACAAACAGCATTATTATAAGGGCGATGCCAGAAAAGGCAGCAAGGAGTTATCGCTAAATTGTCCGCTTGACCTTCCTGCCATTTCCGCCTGCATACCAATCTTCAACGACCAAGGTGCATGGCGCGAAGCGCCACTGCAGTCTTGTACATCTATATATGTATATAATAGACATCTATATATAGATATGCGTATATGTATGTTTAGTTATGTAGATAAATAAGTACATTTACATACTAGAATCATCGCGCGCGCTTCGCGTGCGCTCAAGTTCTAGGTAGGCTAGATGGTCGAACTCTCGGGGGCCTCTATTGTATGATGCTCCTTCTTCGGGCTTCCAAGAGCACGAAGACGGCCCAAGTGATGCTGGGCCAACGAGGTGCAGCCGACAGTTTCGCAAGAGGCACCTGGATGTTATGCGAAGGGCTGGTGGGAGTTAGGCCGTGGGTTAGCGAAGGGCAGCAGAATGTAACCGATGTGCTGTCGGATATTCGTGAGAATCCAGCCGAAACCGCCGAGAGCCATGCGAGGGTGAAACGGGGATGTTTGCAACAGGCATGCGAGATGATTGCAAGAGGTGCGCGATAAAGGCGGTGTAAGGCGGTGTTGCGGGAAACCATGCAGCATTTAGTGCGGAAGGCTGTCCGGTTTCCCCTTGCGTGCGAGTCCATTGTTGCATCCGCGGACTTGGCCCTTGGGCCAAAACCCCATGGATAATTACGGAATGTATTTTTCGCGGATGCCCCGCACGGAACGTATCCACGATGCCGTGCGTCATGGAGTCCAAACCGCCAGGGGGTGGTTATGGACATGTTCGCCTCTCGCCATCCGTGCGAGAGCCATCGCGCTGCACTTCGCCCCGGCGGACCGCGCGCCCCCCTCGAGGTCTACGATGGTGGCCGCGCTCGGGGCGTCGCTGAATGGCCCGCGCCGCCGAGCTCCCTGCTGCAGAGATCTGGAGTACAATCGAGCATGATCACCGCGCCTCCCCTCCTCCTCCGCCTCCTCCTTCTTCTCCTCCTATTCCGGCTCCTCCGCGCTCTATTGTCACCCTTTCTCGCCGCTGGGCACGCTATGTTGATGCTTTTCTGGTTGAGCGACCGGTGATCATAGCTTGCACCGCGTAGGCAGATTCGCGTAGCTCTCACCGCCCAGCTCACGCCACCTGTCTCGCACCACACAGCTTGCAGCAGATAGCTTGCACCACATGCTTTCCACTTCCACAGTGCAGTAACTCACCGTTCTGGGCGCACGCAGTCTAACATTCTCTCTCGCGCAAATCATGCCCATTTGTGCTCCAAGGCCGGGGGTCGTCACTTGATTCGGCACGCTAAAGTGAAAAGCTGTCTGCTGTCTGCTGTTTCTATTGAGAAATTCATTTGGGAGGTTCTCGCTTGTTGCCGTCGTAGAAGTTTTGTTGTCCAGCCAGTTTCACTTAAGACATCCTCGCAGCTCTGGGCTCCCAGATGTCGCGCGAGAGGTGGCCCGGCCCATTTCGCCTGAGACATGTTGGAAATTGTGGGTTCACAGATGCCGTGACCCGAGGTGGCCCCGTTTGTTTATTTGAGATATTCTCGCAACTCTGGGCTTGGAAGTGCCGCCCGCGACGTGATCTGGCCAGATTTGCCTGAGACGTCCTCGCAATTCTGGGTACAAAGATGCCGCGTGCGAGGTGGGCTGGCCAGTTTCGAAGGAGACCACTCTGAGCAACTGCTGTGAGGAGTGCGAAGAGAAGGAGGAGGAGTAGGAGAAGGAGGAGGAGGAAGAGGAGGAGGAGGAGGAGGAGGAGGACGGGGAGGAGGGGGACTGAGCGGAAGGAGGAGGAGCATAGGAGAATGAGGAGGAGGAGGAGGAAGAGGGGGAGGAAGGATAATGCCCGCATTCCAGTTAGACAAGTACTTGTGTTGTCAATGCTTTCGGGACACTCCTCGTCGCCAGGGCTGGACGAGGCCCGATCGTGACTTGTGATACGGGCCCGTGCTCTGCTGGCCAAGGGTGTTGCACGGGCGTGTTCGCGTCCGGACTGCGGGGACCTCTCGAACGGCCCGTTTGTTTTAGGAGGTGGGCGTGTGTGTGCGTGTGTGTGTGTGTGTGTGTGTGTGTGATGTTAGGGCTGCCTGGTCCTCGCTGGCTACTTTTGCTCGCTCTGGAGTTGTTCTGGATCCCATCCAGGGCTCTCTTTGGCTGGCGGGAGGGGGGGGGGGAGGAGGAAGAACAAGACGAGCAGGAGGAGGATGAGGATGAGGAGGAGGAGGAAGAGGAGCGGAAGGAGGAGGAGGAGGAGGAGCAGGAAGAAAAGGAGGAGGAGGAGCAGCAGGGCACCTGCGGCACGGGTGCCCGTGCCGCCAGGGGCAGCCCTGGGCGGCCCCAGGAAGCCCCAGCGGCGGTGCCGGGGTTGTGATGTTCCGACATATGTATGATCCCCCTCCCCCTCCCCCTCCTGCTCCTCGTCCTCCCCCTCCTCCTCCTCCCCCTCCTCCTCCCCCTCCTCCTCCTCCTGTCTCCCTACACGAAGGGGTCCACAGTCTTACCAGCGACCAGATGGTCGAGGGATTGTGTCAGGTCGTGGTGGCAGTCGAGGCGGTTGCAGCTTGTGAGGTGGCGAGGGGCATCGGCAAGGCTCGCAAGGCCTACGCCGACTGGGTCCGTCGCATGTGGCGCACTTCCCCTGGCGCCCTCCACCGACACGTTCGTGACCCCGTCGCCCCTCGGCCTGAGGATGCCATGGTGGTGACCACTCCCAGTTCCTTTGCCGCCAATGCGGTGGCTGACCCCATCACGATCATGGCCAACAAGTCGACGAAGTGGGGCAAGATTTGGAGCGATGCAGAGGATACCCCAGCTAGTATCATTCAAGCGCTGAGCGCAATACGATGCAAAGCAGCTGAGGAGGACATCCCTCCGCTGCAATGCGAGCAGCTCCAGGCTGCTATCCGAGTCACGGGCAACAAGAAGGCTCGTGGAGTTGATGGGCTTGGTGCTGGCGACCTGGGCCGCCTGCCGACCCAGGCCCTTGAGGAGCTCAGGGACCTTTTCCAGCGATGTGAGGCAGCCCAGGCATGGCCGTTGCAGTTGGCGGCCACTCTTTCTGCCCTTGCCCCGAAGCCATCGGGAGAAGGAGATCGTGTGCTGGGCATGGTGCCGTTGCCTGTCAAGCTGTGGTCGCGTGCTCGCCAGACCTTCACGTCGCAATGGTGCCCTGCGCGTGCTGCGTTCTGGGACACAGCAGTGCGTGGCTCTTCAGCCTTGCGCGCTGCCCTCTTGAGGGCGACGCTCGACGAGGCGGCCCAGGAGCAGCAGATCAGCTTCCTGGTCCTCCTCCTGGACATCGAGAAGTTCTACGACAGCGTCTCGCTGGTGGGCCTCCTCCAGATTGGCCTGGACTTCGGCTTCAGTCCGACGGTCATGGGCCTCGATGTGCAGGTCTACCTCCACCCGCGCTACCTGCGCGAGCGTGGCTGGCTCAGCGAGGCGATCTTCCCTACACGCAGCATTGTGGCTGGATCGTCCCACGGGGCTCCCTTCTCCAAGCTGGCTCTCTACCCCATTCTGGAGAGGGTGCATCAGGAGGCCCCGTCGGCGTCACTGTGGACGTTCATTGACGATACGGTGGGACGGTGCGAAGGCTCTGCGGAATCTGTATTACCTGCTATGGATGTTGTGGGCACGTCCTTGGCTCAAGGGTTGAAGCAGCATCGTTTGGTTGTCTCCTCCAAGTCTGTGATTCTTGGCTCGTCGGCCTCCCTGGCCAAGAAGTCGGCACAGAGGTTGCGTGCGAGAGGAGTTCCAGTGAGGCCAGTATTGCAGGGCGTCGACCTCGGCGTCGACGTTGCGGCCGCCAGGCGCAGAGTTTGTGCCAAGGCCATCTCGAGGCGAGTCAAGGCGCAACGACGAGCTGGGCGCATCAAGAGGCTCAGACGTATGGCTGCACTTGGCCGTGAGGCCCGCGGCTTGTGGGCGACTGGTGCGTGCCCGCAGTCTACCTACGGGCACCAAGTTCATGGCACCTCCCCGTCGGCCCTGCTGGCACTGCGGCGCCAGGCTGGTGCTGCCGTCACTGGTGGCCAAGGTGGGCGCTGCTTGACCAGCACACTGGCGGCTTCTTTCGGTTTGAAGGACCCTGCGGTGGAGATACGACGGCAGTTGGTTCTGGAATGGCTCAGCTTCTGGCAGGCTCAGCCGCAGCTACATCGGCGACTCAGGCTTGCGTGGCCGTCGATTCGGGGCCGCCTTGCGAAGGCGGAGAGGCGGCGCTGGAGCATTGTCAGAGGCCCGATTTCAGCAGTTATTGCTACATTGATGGATGTGGGGTGGGATCCTAAGACCGCGACGGTCTGGACCCGCCCGACTAGCGCTGGAGTTGATGAGTGGCACATCCCGTCGAGCGGCGACGAGGCGTTCGAGAACTTCGGCTCTACGACAGAGCTGATCGACGACCTCATCGGTGACATCCGCTCGGCGCTGTGGTTAGAGGCAAGTAAGCATGACAATGGCGAGGGCCTGGCGGGTGGCGGTGACTTCTTCCATATCATGAGGGAGCTCAAGCGTCACCAGGCCCGTGGCCAACATGATGAACATGGATTGAATTTGACGGTCGTGGCAGGAGGGCAGTGGACCCGCACTCGGAGGCATCTCTGCGGGTACAAGCTGGAGTCGACCACATGCCCACGGTGCGAGAAGCATCCAGAGACGCTGTTCCACAGGATTTGGTCCTGCGAGTGCAACGGCAACCACGACGACTACGACAAGACCGCCTCGCTGCTGCCTGCGGCGACAGCGCAGTATGAGAGCCAGCCAACTTTCTGGCTCCGTGGTGCGCCCACTGTCTGCATGACCACGCCTCGCTTCGACGAGGCGCTGCTGGCCGAGCTCGAGCTCAGGCTGCCAGGCGCTTTTCATGAATGTGAGGATGGGGGGTGGACGGTGGTGTACGGGGACGGGTCGGGTGGGAAGCACTCAGACGATCCTCGTCGTCGCCGCTGTGGAGCTGCTATCGTGGCCCTAGCGCCTGATGAGCAGGGTCAGTTTCAGGAGCGTGCTGGCATTGCGGTCCCTCTCCTCGGGCTGAAACAGTCTGTCCCGAGGGCCGAGCTGCTCGCGTTTTGTCTCATGCTCGAGAATGTTCCAGGTAATGTCGAATT